CCATTCTGAACAGAACAAACTCTCTTTGAGCAAATTCGTGAATGTTCTCCCAGAAAAGCGCAAATAGCTTGCGTTTCTATGGAAGNAAACCCATTTGGGATACTGTTGTAAATTCAGTTAATTACACTGGCTATAAACAAACCGCCTTCATTTGAATTTCGTATTTCTGATTAGCCTTTTTTAATGCCTTCTTGCGGGCAGGTGTCTCACCATTCTTCATGTCTTCCTTAGCAAACTCCAAGTCTTCCTTCGATTTTACAAGGACTCGTTTCAGATCTTCAAACTGAAATGGCATTGCACTTCTTTCACAGCTTCAGAGTGCACAATGAAATTGTGCGAGCATGTAATACATGTGAAGCAAAGCATTCAAAAAGAACGCAGGAGAATCTTGCAAGAATAATCAGCAAGGAGTTAAATTCATCGAACCTCAAAGTAGACAATGTTGATGAACGTCCTGATAAGGTGAATTTGCCGACGCCCTCTGTTTTGGAATTCCCGTTGCTTCGCAGCTATCTCTGCACACTGCGCCTTACATTTCAATATTAGCTAAAAAAAAGCCATTCTGAACAGAACAAACTCTCTTTGAGCAAATTCGTGAATGTTCTCCCAGAAAAGCGCAAATAGCTTNAAGGTGGAAACTGCTTTTCTTCAAGGAGCGAACGTGGGTTGGTATTACAGAACTTTTTAGCACACAACAGCTGACGTTTCAGCGGTTTCGCCTTCTTCAGAGCTTCGAAAGGTCGAACTGACATGCAATCTACTCAGCCCCACACTTTCATAACCCAAGCAGATTCGACTTGACACATAAATCTGCATTCACATAATAAACATCTTCTAAACACCCAGCGTTTTATTCGTTGTAAGTCTCTCCGTTATTTGGTGGAGAGCGGCCGTACAGAGGGGCGGAATGTGACTGGATCAGGTTAGAAAAAGGCATGGCGCGAAGTCACGCGTGATAACAAGAATTTCCTCCTTGTGGTTCATTTTTGGATTTTTGGAATTAATCCAAAACGCTTCAACAGGTCTACGCGCTGAGGTTTTAGGTTCCTATGCTAGGATAGTGACTTCTAGTTCAAAATCTTCTCTGTTATGTTTTTGCGTTATATGAGCGCCTAAGGGTGCATGTGGTGCAGTGATTGGAGGCACCACTGTGACACCCAAGGAGAATCGATCCTTGCGCCCGTGATCCACCAAGCCCTCCATTCCTCCGGGATCGGCAAATTGGTACCAGAATTGTCTGGTAAGATAGCAGCACTGGCTCGATGAATCGGTAGGCCACCGCGAGTCACTGTAAAAGTCAAAAACGCATTCAATCACTTACAACAATGTTTAATGAAGTCGAGTGCATGGCGAATCCCTCAGGGATTGATCAACGCAGAGAGCTTTATCCTTTTATCGTTTTATGAGCCCTTAGCGGAGTGTTTACTTTCAATTTAAATTTACCTACTAGGTGTCCTTTTAAGCAGACGCAAAACGGATTATCCGTTTTGTCAACGTATTCTTCTCCACACGCTTTACAAGAGATAAGGTACACCGTACTCGAACTCATGGAATCACTCTCTGCTGTTGGAGCAAATTATGCAATGTTGACTTTTTACTTACTGC